TTGCATACATCTCCAGCTCTTCACCAAGAGGCTCATAATGGGCCGCGCTCAGCTGGGCTGGTGCCAAATCCCCGCCCATGATATTGGGTTCCCGCCGGCCGGTTCAGCTCGGTTCTTGAGTTACCGGCTACGGGCTAGAGACGGCTCCAGAACTAATGGAATTGTGAACCTTTCTGTGAAGCTGGAGAATTTAGGTCCGGTCACCGATCACCGGCCTTTAAACTCAACGACTGCACCGGCTTTTGATATCTGTGGCACGGTCATTGGTACGCCGGTGACAACCCTACTGCCACCATTGGGTGAGTGCTCTGTTAGTTGTCAAGGGCAGAGAGGTCAGATGGGTTTTGGTTGTAAAGAGGCAGATGACTGGGACCATGTGTGATTGAGTTGAGGAGGCAATGAAAAGATTTGGGGACCTTAGACAAATTTCATGTCTTTACTTTGGTGGCGTTTATTTGCAGATTAGGTTCTTTAGGAATGTAACTTTCATGTCTATTTTCCGGAGACGAGAATAAGAACTTATTATTCCTTTGCTTGGAAACGATGTAAAAATAGAGAAATTTTTAGTTGTGATGGAAATATAAGTGGTATACGTGTTTTAATAGGAATGGTGAGAAATTTTATTTGGAAATTGTTATTGGCACTCAAAAAATCTCATTTTACACTCCAAACTTTATATATTTGGAAAGAAAAATAAACTTGTGAGGAGTGTAGAATGAGATTTTTGTAGTACCAATAACACTTCCCATTTATTTTTTAAGTTATTAACTTTTTAGCACACATATCCCCCATTTGTTTAATGACACGTGGTGTACCATTCTGTATACCGATCACACTGAAAAATTTCTCGTAAAAATGGGATGAAGATTTGAACTTGGATTACGAGCTAGTTGATAGAAATGATTTTTCTTTTCATATGATTTGTATATGGCTTTCTATAGTTAAAGAAATGCATTCCTATTTTAGCAAGTGTAAATTGATTTTTGTATAAATCTAGTTTTACTCGAAATGAATTCTGGAAAATTGAAAGGTGCGCCCTATAAAAGTTTTGAAGTTATAATTTTATTATAAGAGCTCTATACAAAACTTCTATTTGAACCCGTATATTTTAGTTCAGAAAAAAGATTTCTTTTTTGTGCTGGCCTATAACTCTAAACGTGTTACGCTACACTGAGATTCTAAACGTAATAAAGAATTTTGTTTTCGAGAAACAAATATGTTGTCTTTTCTTGGTTGAGACTTTAAGGGTGCACATCAAATGCCCAATGTTGTGAAAAGATAGATACTTGAATCAAATATCGAAGTGAGGAGAACTTTCTTGTGGCTTCCTTTCTAATAAGTTGTAGTATTTGAGACGTTAGAAAAACAAAAGCCACCATCTATTGTCAAGTATATCCAAAAGTAAAGAGTAAAAGCTCATGAAATCCAATCAAGTAACGTTCACTGCGTTGGCAATTCATCTTTCCACATTGGATAAGCGTAAAGCCAAACTTATAGACTAAGTAGCAACGGTTCTTCAACTTTAATTTAATTAGAACAGTAGTTCTTAACTAAAAATTATGACTAATGGTCATTTAACTCTTCAAAATGTGCAGCTATAATCTTTTTTATCAATTTTGTTAGAACTTTAGTTAAAATGAGTCATGTTGGAAGAATTATTGCTATAATTGGGTTAAATTTTGAGGGACCATTGCTCTAATTGGATTAAAATTGGGGGAACATTTCTCCAATTGGGTTAAAGTTGAGGAGTCATTTCTACAAAAAAATTTGCATGTAGTTTTTCATATATTGCCCATTGATTCTAACCTTACGTATCTGACACGTGACTCATTTTGACGAAAATTTTAACAGAAATAATGAAAAGAATCATAATTACACATTTTAATAAATTAAAAGATCAATAATTATAAATTTTTTATTAATAGACCATTATAAAATTAAAGAACTTTTGCTTCAATTTTCTCTTTCCAAAAGTAGAGTAAAAGCTCATGAAATCCAACCAAGTAACTTTCGGTGCAATTCATCTTTACACATTGGATACGTGTCGATACATGCCGGCTTCAGACATTAGGGGATCCCACACGTTAATTATAATCATTGCAATCTTCAAGTGCCATCTTTTTTTTCTTTTTTTTCTTTTTTTTTACGTCAAACAATTAATTTATTAAATTAAAAAAAATCACGAAATTTGAATTGACATTATAATACAAGAACAATATTCTTCCCGATTACTGTGATAAAGGAATATTTGCAACCCCATTATTTTGTTTAGTTGATTTGATTGTGATGGGCCATCTAACTCTCAACCCCATTATGAGTGCTAATTTTAAAAAGCATATTAAAAAGTGTGATCGTTATCAAATCATGTGGAAAATGGAACGGAGGCAGATCTGCCCCCCACGTTATCGTAACTTTCTCATTCTTTTTTATTTATATTTATACGGTTAAATTATATTAATATTTTATATAAATTTTTTAATAAAAATAATAAGATAAAAATATAAAAATATAAAATCTTAACATTATTTAATCGTGATCGTACAAATAAAAAAATAAATAAAAAATACACGGTAACAAGAGGGTAGACAATCTGCACTCCAAATGGAACACGCCAACTGATGCAAAACAGATAGTGCTGAGTCACTTGGCCGATCCAATTATTGTTCTCAAATTACGTCAGTGGTCCCGTTTGGTGGACCGAATGAAATTGAACTTTAGAGATATAGTTGAACTGGTAGGAATGGATTTACATAACTAGTTACATAACCCGTTATATTTCTTTTAGGCTAAATATCAGCTTCTACTCTCAAGTTTCATAGTCTTTTGGTACATAAAATTTTTTTTTATTCCAGAATCATATATCTGTTAATCAAATTGTTAACTCTGTCATTAATTAATAATGTGACGTCTATATAGTCAATAACTAAACATCACGTGTCATTAAGAGATCCACATGGAAATTAAAAATTCAAAAAAAATTTAAATTAAATATTAAAAAAAATAAAAAAAACTAAACAAAACTAAAAAACCAAAAAAACCCACCCGCACCCAGATCCTTCTCTCCTCTCTCCTCTCCACTACGCCCACCCCAAACTCAGCCATGGCTTCTCCCTCCCCTCACAACTCCAAGATGTACAACTCCCACCCCTGTGCCCACCCTCTCGTCGTCTTCCCGTCGACCCGTGTCCCTAAGAAAAAATTCAGATCGTCATCCCCAAATCCCCCCGTGCCCACCCTCCCACCCACACCCAGATCTTCCCGTCGACCCGTGTCCCTAAGCAAAAATTCACGCCCAGCAAAACCCAACTCAAACCCATCATCTAATGGCTCTGAGTCTCTTTGGCGGACGACAAAGCAACATCTTCGACCCTTTCTCTCTGGGAAGAGGGGAGAGCTCAGGATGGCATTCTCCTGACCACGAAATTTAGATCGTTGAATTTTAATCCAACGGCTCTAAACAGGAGATCTCCTAAAAAGTTATAATAATTGCAACTGTTGGATTAAAATTGAACGGCTCTGATTTCGTGGTCAGGAGGATTCCCATCCTATGCTCAGGAGAGGATCCTTTTCCTTCTCTCTGGACATCTGGTACCCATTTGAGGGGTTCGGCGCTCTGGCCAACATCCCCTCCTCCGCCCGTGAAACCACCGCCATCGCCAACACTTGCATCGACCCCGAAGGCCCACATCTTCAAGGCGGACCTCCTGGGGATAAAAAATGAGGAGGTGAAAGTGGAGGTGAAGGACGCGAGTGTGCTGCAGATCAGCGGTGAGAGGAGCCGAGAGCAGGAGGAGAAGAACGACAAGTGGCACAGGGGTGGGAGTTGCAGATCTTGGAGTTGTGAGGGGAGGGAGAAGCCATGGCTGAGTTTGGGGTGGGCGCAGTGGAGAGAGAGAAGAGAGAAGGATCTGCGTGTGGGTGGGTTTTTTTTGGTTTTAGTTTTGTTTTGTTTTTTTAATTTTTTTAATATTTAGTTAATTATTTTTTGGAATTTTTAATTTCCACATGAACCCTTAATACACGTAGCGTCCAGTTATTATCACATCATCAGTTAACAGTTTAATTAACAGATGTATGAGACTGTCTTAAAATAAACATTTTAGGTATAACTCTGAGACATCAGTTAACAGTTTAATTAACGGATGTATGAGACTGTCTTAAAATAAACATTTTAGGTATAACTCTGAGACGAAAAAAAACTTCATGTATCAAATGTTAAAAACCACGAAATTTAAGGATAGTAAACTGATATTTACCTTTTTTTTTATTTTGAATTTATAGTCAATTCAATTCGTATTATAATTTTTCTATTTTGAATTTATAGTCAATTCAATTCGTATTATAATTTTTCTCACTGAACATTGACCGGACTTCAAGTCCAATTTAATTAAAAATAACCAATCTCATAACGTCCACTAAACACGGCCTGAGTGGTTGTACAAAACATGGTAGCCAAAACAACATAAACATTTTATGTTAACAATTTATCAAGAGAATATTTTCCTTTGATAGTGATACGAATTTAGTTGAATCGAGGTTTTAGGAATGTATTGTACTTGCGCAAACGATTGACAATTGTTCGTTGAGATGACTTCTTTAGGCATTATTGGTCACTGCATACTCAACTTTAGGGTTTTTAAATAAAAATGATATCCGTACACTCATTTTTTCCTCTTGCACAATCTGGGTAAAAGAAATGATATTGGAGAACAAGGAAATTATATGAACAAATTAATCTAACATCAAACAATTTTGGTTTTTTTTTTTTTTTTTTTTGTTTTGGTTTTTCTTTTTTCGATTACAGATCCTTGCGTGCAGCTACTTAGTACCATAGTCCAATGGTAGTCTTCTTCACCTATAAGTGAGAAGTCTTGGATTTGATTATCATCAAAGGTGAATTTGAACCACATTATTGCTAGCCCATTGTGAGATTTAGCTCACTCCCTCACCCCCTTAACATAAATAACATCGTTTGTTCAAAAACAAAACAAAAAGGAAGCTCCTTGTGTGCAAGAATGTCATAACGCACAAATAAGCATCACATTAGAGGTGGTAGTTTTGCTAATAATGCTGTCCGGATACAAGAAATTGGCTGACTACCCTCAAATTTCGGTGCCTCATTCTTCTGCCTAACGGAAGAGCCTACACTGTGCCCTCCTCTGCGGATCTAAATTAGAACACCGGCGGCCTTACCGGACGTTCTCTTGTTGTGCACTATAATGCTACGTTTCTGATTTCAGATTTTGCTTCTCGAAGTTTCTTCGACCACGCTATGTTCCCGATTTCAGATGTTGCTTGCTTCTTGAAGTTTCTTCTACCACGCTACGTTCCTGATTTCGGATGTTGCTTCTTGAAGTTTCTTCTTAAACGACTTCAAACTAGGTGGGCTGTTTGTATTCCAACGAAACGATGTGCTTCGCTTTGTAAGATCGGATCTGAAAGGTGATCCTGAAGTTTGATCCGTTGATGGAGTGTCTTCGTACTCTGCAAACAAAAGGCAAAAGCTCAAATTAAACGATGATCTGAGAAGAATTTCGGTTGTAGGGCTGTAGGTAGACCAGAGAAGACAGTGAACAGAATAGCTTAAAGTAAAATTCCAAATACAAATTCAGGAGAATAGTTCCAGGCCCTGTTTCCACTACGATTTTTCCTGTGATTCTGAAGATAAAATAGTTTGATTTACATTCCTGAACCAGTTTCTTTTCAAAGAAAAAAAAAATATTCGTCAAAAAGTTGTGTCAAATGAATTGATCTTTTTCAATTTATTCAATCCGACAGCCGAAAATTAATAGGGGTGTGTGCGAAGTAAAAATGAACGTGTGGATAGTGCCCTTCTTATTTTGGCTAAAATCCACTTCTCATTAGCATACAAATCATTATGTATTATAACTCTAATAATTCAAAATTGATATTTCATGCAATTAAACCATCATCCACTTGTTCCAACATTTTTCCTTTCTTATTTTGGCCAAATCCCACTTTGTCATGAGCATGCGGATCATTATATATAACCCAAAGCAATTCAAAATGGTATTTCATGCAATCAAACCGGCGGAGAGGGAAAAAATCACCTGATGACATGGGGAATTGATATTGCCCTTTCAAGAATTTGGAGGCTTCTCTATCTTTCTTGTGGCACAAAACCCGTACCAAAGTGTGTGCGTTATGTAAACGCATGTGACTCTGATCATGTGAATCTAAGCCTGATGATATTTGTTCACTTGCAGCCATCAGCATTTGGATGATCGTTTCAGTCTACAGAAACAGAGGTTGCGTCATGCTACCAGTTTCAGTCATTCACTTGAGAGGGTATACAATTCTTATTACAATAGACCAAACCTGAAAAGAATACAAGTTCAGTATCTGCTCAGCCAATTTTGCTTCCTGCTCCACTAGTGATCGAGGAAGGCCTTCTCCATCAGCTACGAAAAATTCCTAGGAAGTTTAGCAGCACAACTCCATTAGAAAGCCACGTGTTTATATATGATTATATGTTGACATGTAATGAATATGTGGGTAAGCATGTGTGACATAGACAGGAGGAATTTCCAGCGTTCTGATCATTCTTGTAGTTCGTTGAGTTTGAAATATTAGCGGCAACCCATACCTTTAGTGTGGTCAGGTCATCCTCCATCAGTGCAATATCTGAATCACTAAATGCACGAGAAGGCCCTCCATCGAGCAGCACCCATGCAAAGCCTTCCTAAACCACATATGATGCAAGATTAAAACCACCAGAAACAGGGCCACAAATGATTAGTTTAACGAGACATACCAGTGATGCCCGACAAATGCTTGAAACCACAGCATCTCGAAGAGAGTCTTCAATAAACCCACATACATGGCCAAGGACCTACAACAATGCCTCTAAGATGAAGAAAATGCACTTGATAATATTTCATAGAAATCATATCCACAAACGCCAACAACTCAAAGTAATAGGCATATGAGTCTGCAGAGAGAGAGAGAGAGAGATTAATTCTTACAGCATCAATATGTGAAAGAACACCATCCAAACGAGCACCTTCAACATTACCACAGTACAAACCAAAAATGAATGCATGTCTGAGATCCCAGAACACGATTCTTGCACCTAGAAAAATGAATTTAGTAAACAAGATTAAGCCTAGTTGTCTTCAATCATTTTTCACATCGACACAGTTAAAAGTCAATTTGATTTCTTTCCGTGGCAAAAAAATAAGTAGGTTCCTTAATTGCACCAAGCTTAGTTGTCTTAGATATAAACAAATTAAAGGATATATAATAATAAATAATTATATATTATATAATATCATTAACAATAATACAGAATGATAAGCAACAGCAGATTGGGCTAACAGGTTTTATTAAGACAACCTGTATGGCTGAATCACCCCATCCCTTAATGTGTGGAACTTAATATTTGCAGATGCTATTCAAATATTAAGTGTAGCTACGAATGAAAGCCTATTGCCAGATGTGAATAGGAAAGCCACCGTAATTGATAATGCCATCACAAACTTCAAAGTAATCAGATAATCATCCGTATTAAGTAAAACGAGCTATCTTTTATCAGATAAAGCTTAATCGTGAAGTTTCACAAATCCACAGTAGAAAAACAGTTACAAAGAAGGAAGGTGACTTTAAAAGTATGCAGACAAATATATTTGTTAAAAATGATACTGCATGGATGAACTAAAACAAAAAAAGTTAGCTATCTTTTATTAGCACCTTCGGTGGGTTGATGAAAAAGCTAGTTCACAGAAAGGCATTGTGGATGCAAACTAATATTACACTCACCAGTAAAGTCACAAAGTTTGCTGATAGCATTTGCTGCAGTGTCCCTGATAATTTCAAAGGTGTTGACAAAGAGCTCATCAACTTGTTCATTAGATGTTGTTCTTGAAGAATGTTCCTCGTCTGATCAAATAAAAATGATCATAACAATAGTAAGTATGTCATCTGTAATTCAAAAACAAATAACCGAACTAACAGGTTGAGCAACTGTCAAGGATATCTTTAGATAAAAACCACCCTCTTTAGCTTCTCTAGTTTTTTTCCTCATGTGAAAACTTTACAGTTTATACCTAGCACGAAGCCTACGACTTACCTGACTATAGATTAAAGAGACATCATTCAGTACCAATATACCACAGTAGAGTACTAACTTACCCCATTTTTTATGAACGGGTTGTCTAACAAGTGCCCAAGATTTTCTGATGCCATCTTCTAGTATATCTATTTGTTTCTGTATAAACTGCAGAAACAAACACAAACCATTGTTTAAATAATTAATAAAAGTAACATCAAAGTGGAGGTTCCATAATCACAATTGAGGATATGAAGTTACAAATGATCCCACTAAAGAATAAAGATCTTGACTACGATAAATATCTCACAGGTATTTAAGTTAGTTTTCATGAATATGGTTTACGGTACAATAGTTCTCCTCTACATCCATGTCATATAATTAGTAGTTATACCCCAACATCTGTGCCCTCAAAATTAGGGGCGGTGACAACACCTTCAAGCTTCATCGTTCCTATATATTCCTATTCTTTCACTCTTGTGGGCTTCAGTTTAATAAAACAACAATAGGGTTCTAATATGGCTTATATACTATAATGGGAGCATTTATCCTTTAAATTCACAAATTACCACACAATGTAAACACATATTAATCCCCATTGGTATCTTCTAGTTATTTTTGAATGGGTCTTGTAGTCTTATTACCAAGCACTACTAAAATTGGGCTTATAAGCTCAAATATCCCAAGTCTCTTATCTAAAGTTCAGAAGCACTTTCATTTGTACTACATCAACTGGAATTTTCTCTTTTTTGGCCATAAATTTCATGAAAATACTTTTGATCCCACCCTTTCTCTAGCTACTGAAATCTTTATTATTTTGATACGAATGAGGAAATAATTACATGGTCCATCATGAAAATTACAACCATCAGAGAAAAGGATAAATTAGCTAGCGTCAAAGAAAATAATTTAACCATTCCAGCAAAAATCACTTTCAAAAAATGCAAAAAAAGAATGGGTGTACAAAAAATATATATATTCACTCACTTTTAAAGTGTTCAGTCTGATACAGAGTCTGGGTATCGTCAAACTATTCAACCTGTTGTACACATTGTCATCCAGAGGCATACACTCAAGCAACTTTTTCTTCATTACTGGAATCGTCGTCTCCTTGTAACGAGTCAATGGAGGAGCTGATGGATATAAATGATTCTTCTCAACTGCACAGGAGCCATTATGAATGTTTATACCAGAAACTAGATCTCCTTGTAATAAATTACAGTAATATTTGGAATATCATCAGAAAATATATAGAGGCCTTTCTGTAATAGCCAGTAAATCCCAAGAAAGTCAGCTAGCAAATCTTTCCTATTTCCATTTCTAGATCAAGCAAAGGAATAAATATTAGTAAAAAAGCCTCATTATTTCATCCATCCCACCCACACAAAAATAATAATTCTTAACATATAACTGTTTACCACCAAATCACAACAAAACAAAAATGCAAAGTAAATATATATTGAAGGTAGTGGACGTCTTTAGCAGAAAGTTTTAGTTCTCAATTTCTCAAAAGTCTCAATTAAATCTGGCACAAATTCAAAACTTCTGGTGAGCATCCTTCATTTTTCTTGATCAGGCAAAAGTATCGTCTGATAGTTATTGCTGCACAAACTGCGTCCTTCTGCAAAATCTTTCCTTTTTTCCTTTCTGATAAGTCACGTCCTCAAACTTGATAGATCATTCAGAAATTTTGTCAAGGAATTTTTCTAGTATCCTCATTATACTTTAAATGTATTAGTCAACAGTGAGATACTATTACGTTATTAACCATCAAGATCATTTTCTAGTAGAAAGCATCATCTATCCATGCCTTCACACATTGGCCCAACATCAAAAGAAAATAAGTTAAAACCACCGAAATCAAATTCAACTGTGAAGTCATGCTAAAATTGATTATAAGTTATCACGATCATTATCTCAAGTATGGTAATACGTTCAATACCTAGCTCGTCAAGCAATTTCACCAAATAGTTATCCAGGGTGTGGAAGACAACAGATAACAGAGCTTGCAAATGCGTGATGTCCATAGGGAGATTAAAACCAAAAAATTGATCCACACTCTGCAAGTTGGAGAAAAAAAAAAGCAACGAAATGGCATAAATATCAAAGCTGATTGGACATATTTTTAAAGAAATAATGAGAACGGTGCAATGGGGTAATCCTCAAAATCAATTAAAAACAATTAATACTGAGAGTTATCTTTTTTCTTATTAAGTAAATGTAAATTACAATTAGATTCATTTCTTATAAGAGGAAAATATAATAATCATTGGGCACTTAAGAGAAGATTTCTAAGTGAAAGGAGAAAAGGAACAGAGAAATGCAAAGAGCTCAATTCTTTGTTCATATCTCTTGACGATTCAGTGAATCTCTATCAGAAATATCATGGAAACATGGCAAACAGTCAGAGAAGAAAAAGGAATTCTCAGTTCAATAAAGTGCAACAAACCACGTTCTAGCTCTAATACATACCTCTTCTACAATTCTAAATACTTCAATTATTGATGCTGCCTGTCTTTGCTGAGTCGACAAAGGCTCCCACTCCTGCACATAACAAAAATTCAAAAGATAATGTACTCATTATATAGAAGAGAAGACATTCTCTTCTTAAAGCATGTCCAAACTTGAAACTTGTTAAGTGGTTACCAATAGTTATGTAAATACTCAACACATACATCAGAAATCAAACTTATCTAGGACTAAATAGAAGAAAAAGAATAAATACTATCCACGAATTCGAAACCAGTGCAACATTCATTCATTCTTGTGCCGGACACTGTTACATCTTGCTAACACCATAGGGATCAACCCAACTAATCCCTAAATACCATCCATTTAGAACTATTGATTATACACCTCAAGAAGAATAGAACAGGCCCAAATTATGGAAAAAATGAGGGGAAGACAGAGAAATTTAACAAATTGTTCCTTGCCCTCATCTTATGCTCCCCTTCTCACATGCACAAGTACACACGAACGCCAATGCTTCATTGTCTTACAGTTTGATCACCAACATTGCTAATCAAAAGTGGTACATTACCTAATGGTTGCCTAGTATCACACTATCAGTTTGTTTGATCAGCTATTATGCGGCAAGAAGATAAATGGATTTAACTTCTTATCAGTTTGTTTGACAAGCTATTAAGCTATTACGTTATCTTTCCCTGTTAATTTAGTGCATTTGTTTACCCAGGCAGGTGGGAGGGAAAAGATTAAAGTGCACCATTCAAGTCTACATAGAGCCAACCTCAAGATCAAATGCGCGTCCAGTCCACTCCAAGATACGTTCATGCTGAGCAATCACCCAATCAAGAATGAGAGGTTTAGCAACTTCACCAATCTGCTCAAAAACAAAAGCACAAACAGATCATTCTTTGACTTATCATCTAATTAAAGTTGAATTATCAATTACAACAAAGGATAAAAGCTGAAGAACACAGGAACATATTAGCGCTCTAGAATGAATGTGTGGTGCAAGTCTTTTCAAAACTGAAAGTGTCCAACAAGCAACAGACAAAATGCACAGCCTAAGTTAAATTGAATGCTATCAAGTTCCTGAAATCTCCAGAACAGAGTGACCATCTCCCCATGTAAGGCATTAATGGGGAGAAAAGATCTCAAATGTTTCCTAATCCACAGAACAGAATGATTATATTACCAGCAGTATAATCAAATGCAAGCAGAAAGAAGCATAAACGTATAAAGAAGAATGCAGTAAACTGAAATAATTTTTTCATATAACATTTAGCATTGGCTGCAGTTGAAATTCAGAAACTCAGTTAATAGACCTAAGTGGCACCTTAGGCTAGTAGATTTGCTAACCAAAATTCCAGATACATAAAAGCATAATTACACACAAAAGTAAAAGAATTTCAGTAGAATTCTGTACTTTTTCATTTTTCCGGGTTGGTATATATGGATGAGATATAACAATAAAATATATAAATCATAAACTAACCGGATAATGGCGCAAATGTTTGCTATTTGCTCCATCAACAAGATTATATAGCTGAGTTAGGCCATGATCCAATAAATCAGCAGCTGGAAGAACTGCTTTAACATCTTCAGAGAGAGATGATACCCCATCAAGAAATGGTTTCTACACAACAACACAACGAATCAATCACAAGTTTCACAGCGTACCAGCTGCAAATAGATTGATAATTCATTTATTAAAAGTGCAAAAACAAACCAGTCTTCCCCAAAAAATCTGGTGCAATAGCATAGCCACGATTGTCACAGATTTAGGACACCATTTACATATCTCTGGGTAGAAGACATTGAACTCTTTCTCAGATATCAACCTGAGTTCATTTGCAAGTACTTCCAAGGGATGCCTTTTTTCCACTTTGGATAAATGTTCTACGTTACTTGCTGCCTAACAATATAAACAGTTGTCTTTTTCAACAGATAGAAATCTAAATTTTATACAAACTTGAAATCATAAGCATTTCGTACCCGCCTGTATGCTGCTTCAATGGACCTTTCCACATAAGATTCAAATATTTTAGCAGTGTCCTCGTCTGGAATATTCAACCTGCTCAACTGCATATAAGAAAATTTTCATGAGATTATATATCCTTTCAATTACTCCAACTCAAGTCCAACCGCCAAGCTTCTTTATCCCATAAATAAAAACATCAGACATGAAGAAAACAACCCTACCTACTGCTTTGTGTAGTTAAATATTTAATCAAGCAACAATTGTAACCATATTAGACATATGGAAATATTATAATTCATTTAAAACCACAAGTTCGCATTACTAGCTAGGAGTGCAGCAAGGCTAACCTTATTATCACCACCATCGCCAAAAGTATAAATGCCAACTACTGACAATAAGCTCATCACCCTCTTTATGTGATAAGGTTGCTGAAATAAAAATCTCATAATTAGAACGTAACATTTGGAAATCCAAAAGTGTTGCAATATGTAAATTTTAATAAAACATCGAAGGACATAAAAGAAAAATGATACATGTAAACATTGGCTAACAAAGAAGTTACAATGTTCAGACGACCGCCATTTCATTTCACATTTGAGTAACACTGATACAATGATTTAAATGGCACAAAAAATAAAAAAAAGAAGTAAAGATTGCAGGTACACAATGCTGCATTGAAATGTTTTCTCTTCATAAAACCAAAAACAAAATGGGACATGATATAACCTGACTAAAATGGAGATGATAGTCTTCCAGTTTACTCTCACACCAGATGCTTATTGAGTAGAAGACAGCGTCAACCAAACTAAGTTTTATCTCGCTGTCATTGCACTGCCTAGAACATAGCAGGCTATTGCTATATAGCCTCAACTTCTTATCATCACCTTTAGCTGATATAAGTTTCAGCAACTCCACTGTTGCACATTCTAATAGCAAAGGCTCGCCTGTTTCAACAAACTTCAACACAGAAACTTGCCTCAGATAACTATTCGAGATGGTATTAAGCATTGAATGGCAAATGAAGGACAAAGGTACTGGTAACCGGAAAACTGATGGTGCAAGATTCACTCAACCCATTACTCCAAAAATTTAAAAAGTTTTTATTCTGTCGGAATTTAATATAGGCTGTTTAAACAGACTTTTGTTCACCCAGTGTGCTAATAATGCAATAAAAGTAACATCTTTCACAACAAAGCCCACACAAATTTAAAGAAGGATAAATGATTACTATAATTCAATCCAGATTGAAGAATGCATTTATAAAGTTGATTCGCGAAACATGCTACATAAATGTTAAACGTTAAAGATATCATGTTTACCTGTTGGAAAAGGACCCACCCATATATTGCATCATGGATTTTTTGAGTGATGCCTAAAGTGGACCATGTCAATTTTAAAAGCATCAGGAACTCATCGGCTTCCTAATAGGATGAAAGCAGCAAATTTGAGCTTCACCAGAATTAAACTACAAGGACATAAAAAGAAATTGCTTAACTGAAATTAAGACAATGATATATCTACCGCTATTAGCTGGCCTTCATCAAGAGCATCAAACACACCAAGAAGTAGTTTCTCATAAAGTCTAATATTCAGGTGATACCCAGAAGTCCAATAATAGGTCTCACTTTCGATACCCAAGTGCCCTGGAAGAGATGAGAACTTCAAAGCCACCTGTTTGATAACTGATAGAACCTCAGCCCGTTCGGAAAGAGACATAAAGTCCCATTCCTGCAATATCGAGATAACAAATCAGAGCCATTATTGAATTGTCGGGACAACTAAAATAAACAAAATAAGCACCTCTCAATTAGTATTCAAAATTTCATATTCACCATTTCTACAATGTTGTAAACTCACGAGGACACACCTTTGCATTTCTGACCATAGCAAGAGCACTCGTAATAGCTCGATTATCATGTGCTACAAGGTTAGCAGAAAAACAAAGAAGTTCTTCTAATATACTTGCCTACAAAATGAGTAGAAAAACAATACATCAATTCAAAGCTTAAAATCCTTAAGTACAACAAAAGCATGACGAGAACTACGCAGATATCTTGTCAATTATCAATTCGTCAACCTCTGGATTAAACAATTAAACAGGCGAACAGATTTTGACACGGCCCATTGTACATTACCTAGAAGTTACAGAAAAAACTACTACAACTACTGCTAAGGTCACTACGGAAATGCCTTATATGTCGACCTTTCAAGTCAGCGCAACTCTAAAATTCTTCACCGGCAGGCAACCTAAGGCCCAAACTGAGAACAGTCATGATAAGGCAAGCAATTAGTCTACCCTAACCCTACTGATAGGGCTATTGCTTGAGGTACTAAATTCATGCAATCGCAAGCCAACCAGTATTACATTATGCAAAGACAGGTCGCTAAAAGCTTTCCTAGTTTACAACATGTCTTTCAAAGTACATGGTTATATGAATCTCACTTAAACTAATTCCTGGTCAATGAGTTTTTGCCCTACTACTACTACATGTGAAGGGTGTCTGACTAATATGACAATTTACCACATTCACCTATTTGCTCTAGCCAGTTCTGAAGTTAAAAGGACTCGATTCTAAACTATTCAAAAGTTGACCATACCTGTCTATTCTTCCACTGCATATAAGACTTTTCATTTGGAAAATCAGACTTAAAAGTTCCATTTACAAGCCCCAACAAGATTTGAGGAACATCGATTTGTGCCCGCGTTCTCCCTGACGCTAACAGCATCAACTTTTGCCTAGTGCTTTCATCCATCGCTTCTGAAATCTACCAAAGAAGAAATAATTGCTTCTGAAATGAAATAGTCAAAGTATTTGAGCAAGAAAGGAAAACTGAGTGACAAACAGAAATATCCTTCTCTTCAACACATCGGTGTTTGCAATCAGTAATAGGGGCATGTATGTCATTAAAAGCTATCTATTATGAAAGCTACAAACAGAAGTAAATATATATTTGCATAAGCTTTTTCTTTACCCCTTCTTTCTAGAAGCTCTTTATTTAAGTGGTAGAGCTATGGAAGAATAACTTAAAATTAGACTGGTATAAGCTAGACCTTCGTAATAACCTTCATTCTCTCTCACAGAAGTTGGAAAGTATTTCCGGAATATATCACCCAACTGTTCTAAGAGTAAGACACACATCATATATCTTTCCCAGCAGATGATTGTATAAATTCAAAGTACACTGTTTCGAATTCAAAGTCAGAGATAATTGACGATACCAGGTGATGCATAAAGTTAAAAAAAAGATTATATAAATTCGTATTAATGAGTGCATTCGGTTATGAATGTGATATGTATAAATTTGAACAACTTTCCAGACATGGGAATCCTTAATATATGCAGAATATACATCAAACTGGAAATCTTTCTGCATATTTCCATAAAGGACATAAAATTGCAGCTCCGAAGTGAATTTAATAAAGTTTACCTGCATTTGCACACGGATGGTGTGGATGAGCCGTAAATCTCTTTCAAGTGGTTGAGACTGCACATTTGTTGTTTCCCTTCTACTCTTCAATCGTGACAGCAATTTCGAACTCCTTTGCTTCTTTCTATCCTCAACTGAACATATTACAATCCTGTCATAGAAAGGCAAAGAGTAAGACAACAAGAGAGCAATGGAGGGTAAAAGACTGATTCTACATCAAATCAATATCTCAAAATTACATAACTGCATGAAAGAAATATGAGTTTCACCACACACATACACAGAAAAGGAGAAAATAGAGATTACCCAGAAGTTGCCAAGGATGCTAACAATATTTCATAGGCTGACTCCCGCAAGTCATCATCCGACAATCCTTCAAAAATTCTGAAGCTATGTTACAGTTTTACTTAAAACTTAATATGTTGAAGGAACTTCAGCATACATATACACATCTTAAACAAACAAAAAACAAACAAAAAGACAAAATAAATCGTGGAGTGGATAACTTCATTACTAGAAAAGAAGATGCTGCCTATCATTTGAGGAACCTCTGATTTCATAACATTTTCTTCACAAATGACCATATCAAATTGTATGACACACTAATTTATCATAAATACCATAGGCAAAGTAACCAATACCTGTGTTTAGATGAGGCAATCCCAACGGTAGCACTTTAACCTCTTCAACATGCTTTGGAGGTGCACTTGGCATGGCTCTATATTTGAAACCATAGTCATCACCAGCCTTTTCATTGTCCTCAACACTCAAAGAATTCAGCTGTGCGGATGAACTTGATGCATTGTTAGCGGTCCGGTTCACATGTACGGGAGGAGGCACACGCCGAGGAGGTGATCCAGATGATTCTGGATCAGAAACTAGAAAAAAGGAATCCCCTAATTCGGATTGAATCTGCCCGAAAAATTAAAAAAGCAAATGATAATGAAAATTAATCCTAACAGAGTGTAATAAAATGTAAACTCAAGTCCTCCAAAAAGTTTCTGGATATGTTTAATCTCTCTTAAATAGCTTTTGTTGAAACATTTCTCGCTTTTCGCCCAGTTCTCGAACAAAAGCAAACCAACAACTAGAACCGAAACAAGAATCGCAATTTCGAAACTCAAAAACTTAGAACAGAAACATATTCAGTAGATAGTCAAGTTTTACCATTAGAGGGTAAGAAGATTCGTGAAAGTACTTCCTGGTTGCTTCAGATATATCCACCACTCCACCTGTTTCCAAAACAGTTTTCAAAAACACAAAAAATGAGCTAAAATTAGACCAAAATTCAAGTATTATTATTCAGCTGAATTCGAAGCAAAAAGGTGAAGGAAAAAAAAAAGAGACTTGCCAGATTTGACGCAGTCGAGGACATAGTCGGCGCTGATAGTATCGAAATCGATGTGGGAGAGGGAGGCGGCGGACGCGGGGGCGGAGTCTGACCCGGACGGCGTTCGGACGAGACCCGACGAAAAGAGGAATTCTAAGAGCTTGCGACGATCACGGCGATATCGCTGCAGCAAAGGTTGGAGGTGCTCCATCGTCAGCAGCTAACTCCTACTTGACGGCAGAGACAGGGACAAGATCATCGGTGGTCGTACAATTGGAGGAGGAGCGCGAAAACAATGCCCGCAATGCGGCTGCTGTTTCATGCTTTCGGCAGATGCTTTTTGCTTTTGTTTATTTTTCGGGTTAAATTATACTTTTTGCCACTCGGTTTTGATTATTTTTAAGTTGACCCCTTCTTCTGTTTTTTCTTTACTTTTTCTCCGCAGTTCATTTGAATTTGAAATCGGAATTTTATTTAAAGATGCCAAAAGTTTCTTTAAATTTACCTTTTTGACGAGGGAGTGGATAGTTGAAGAATTTCCCCCTTTTTCTTTTCATCAAACTGCCCATGGCATTTGAGTTCAAATCTCTTTTGCTACATAGGACTATGTTCTAGTGATAATACTTTTCAATTAACATTCTTAAGTTTGATCCTCGTGTTAATTGTTAGCATATAAAAACTCACATGTGAGATTAAAAAGATAAAATTAACCTCACATACAACCCTACGTGCTAACAAATAATTGACAGAATTTTCAATTTTTGACCAAAGAATTGACGGAATTTTTAATTTTGAACATAAATCCAACTTAACCACATGGACTATCTTCCAACAATACCATCACCACAGGGTACTAATAATCCAATTAGGCCGAAGAACATTTTATTCGCTACTCACTAAAAAAAAAAAATGTTGGTTTATGTGAAGCCACGTTAACAAGGCTCATGCCTAAATAAACTTATTAACATTTTAATAACACATTTCTACACAATCAACTGAACTTTCTTCGAACAAGAAACAGCCGTTCGCATTGTAAATACAACTCGAGACAACCGTCTCTGTGTGATACTAAATAATTACCGCGGAAATGCCCTGGCAACACCCATGTACACAAGGCACCTAAAGAACGCCATAGCAACCACGAATACGATGCGCCATTGTCATCGTCGCTACTACGACACCAACAGATCAATGACAACTGCTATGCCTACTCTACAACAGCAAACATCAACAATGACAATATAGAAAACCTGCAGTGTATCGAGGGCGAAGCTTTGCATTGGATTACCCTCCAGCAGGACGTCTAAAGCCTGCATTTGAGTCCGATGTCACCCAATGCCAAGATTTGCATAACATTACACTCAAGTCTCGAGCAAGAATTTTTATGTAATTCCGCAGCGTGCCCTGCACAAGTCTCTAATTAGAAGAATTCTACACTTCCCCTTGATCCTGGCTGCTACTCTTCAAGATATTGTACTTGCAGAGAGGACAGGTAGCGTTGATAAAAAGCCACTTGTCAATGCAGGAACAGTGAAAATGGTGGCTACAAGGAAGTTGCCTTAGTTCCACTCCATCGTCATAAGAAGAAAGGCAGATGCAGCACTCCTGTAAGTCACAATGATCATCATTCAAATGTCACAAAAATCTTTTTACCAATCCAAAGATTTCGTTGGTCCACACATTACATAAGAATACAAAACAAATCCAATTATATAACCGGTCCAAATTGAAACCGTTCCTCCTTAACTACCAGAACTCAAGAGAGTAAAGAAGAGTATGAGCCAAAAGTCAAGAACCGCTTACCGCATCCTCCTGAGAAAGAACATGTTCAATCGGTGAATCTGTTCCACATTCAGTCATTACTCCTCCACCTAGTACATCGCCGGCAACTTTCTCATTGGCAACTTTTCTGAATTTGAATTTTGAAAGCTGTTCGATGTCTTCCTTAGATGCTCCATCCTGCTTCAGTAACAGGTCAGACAAACATAAAAGGGAACGAGAAAAAAAGCCATCACTATTGAATATAATATTCTTCGAACTACACTCTAGTAAATTTATAAACGATGAGGAGGCAAATTGACAGAGTAAACAACAGTTCCAAGTTTTAGTTACAACAACAAAACATCAAGCACTGGCCCATCAAATTTTTTTTGTCAGGCCCATTAAATTTGATGCAACTAAAAGAGAGCCAGAACAAATTAAATGAAACAAATTAGTATAACAATAATAAATCTTTCATCCCAAAGTGCACCAAGGGAAACTACCATAATCAATTTTTCCAACCCTCTTTTATCAACAAAACCATGAAATTCAACCATCTTTCAGTACTATCAAATATGAGAAGGATATAATAGATATTCTGAGGGGATGAAAGTTTAGCAGTTAACGGAAGAATGGATTGGTATAATATAGTGCAGCCTATTTTACCAACACAGGAACTCGCCCGTTTAATTGAGCTCATGAAGGCTATCAACAAACTTCTATAAAAAACATCAGAGCTGGACTTGCCAACCCACCCCAGATAAAGTTATGCTAAACGGGAATCAAACCATCTTAGTGGAGTTCCATTTTTAGAGTCCAAATCCTCCTACTGAGAATCTTGATACATTGATATTTCCGTTCAAACTAACAAGAATCGACTAATTTTTGTTATTATCAAATAATTGGAAAATAAAGTTTGCTATCGCAGAATCATATATAACTTGTCAATTTCCAGTTTCATTTTTCAACCATCTACTTTAGCACTTATCAACCAGTATTACAGCAATATTCGCCTAACCTACAGAATGGTAATGATAGAAGACACTAATAGTTATGAACATGAAAATCAACATACCCCCACAGACAAAAAAAGAGATTACTGGGGATGAGAACTACCTGATCTGCGACAGCATATAAAAGTGCAATAATGCACGGAAGACAGCAACAAACTGCGATACCAATGATACATGCCAGTGCAACACAGAAAACGACAAAAAACACATCAAAACCCAGGAAAATTATACATAACCTGCAGATAAAGCCACATTGCCATAGTTAAGAGTTTATCCCTGATTTTCAAATAAATGGATGTGAGACAGAGAGAGAACACAAACCAGTAAAGCTGAGGGGAGGCACGCGCTAAAGACTGACCACCTGCCGATACCCAATAAAACCCAATGATCCACCAGATAAACGAAAACATTGTATTTGCAGATTCCAGGTGCTTAGCAACACTGCTGAAAGATACAAGCAAAAACAATAATCAGACATGAAATTACTACAAACGAAACAAACAACAGCACATGTCAGTTAATTTCTCACACATTACTGGCACCAAATATAGCAGCATCCTACAATCCCAGTACAAAACCAGTTCAGTCGTCAATAACCGATTCTAACATCCATGCGTATAGACAGGTACCATACAAAATTTCAGATTTCGAAAGCTTCAAACGAAATAAAACCGGTGCCATCAGAAATCCGTAAATGCGAAGAAGAATCATAATTTTGCATAAATACGCAAAACCTTGAATTCATTTCAAAGAGAATGGGGCCAACCTACAAGTAAACTATACTAAGAATCAAATGCCATCAGCAACAATGTCAAAGACAGAAAAACCTTAAAAACATCACCATTCTTGGAGCAAAATTTACGCATTCGAACAACAAAATCATAAATTTCCAGCAACTCACATCAACCCGCCAACAAACACCACATAAGAAAGACAAAAACATTTAGATTTGCATTGTACAGATAACGTTGTTGTTACCTGGTACCCTCCTCAGTCACATGATCAGCCAACGACACGTACTGAGATGACGAATCCCCCTCTCTCAACCCAGAACTCAAATTCCCAACACTCCCCACCCCTTCCTCCCCAGAAATCACCCCCGAAAACCGGCTTCTCTGCCTGCACTGCCGCCTCCGAAACTCGACGCAAACACAAACCATATGCACCACGCACTGCAACGCGTACCCCACGATCCACAGCCTCAGGGGCATATCCGGCAGTTCGTACCGGCTAAGAACCAGGACAGTCGCCGCCACGACGACGAAGGCGAAGTTCCAGATGATGTCGAGAACCACCACCGGCTTGGAGTACGCCCAATCGCTCTGCCTCTCCTCCAATTGCTCCGCCGCGGTCTCCCGGACCAGCATCGACGGCTCGCGCATGAGGCGGCGGCTGCTGGCCTGGCGCAGAAACCTCGCGGCCTGCCGCAGGCTCTGTCGGCGCGCGAATTGCTGGCGCCCCGAGTTCGACTCGTCGGACGACCCGCCCGAGTTGCTAATCAGCGGCGTCGTGTCGACGATGTCCTCCGAGGATCGGTTCGGCGAGGCCATTTCGGGAATTCGAATCGGAATTTGGGGATTTTAATTTTTTGCGAGCTCGTCGAATGGAACGCCCTGACTCGGGGAGTTAAATCGTCGACTCAGCCCATGCAGATCGCTGAAACGGTGCGTTTGGGGCGGGCGCTCAGATCGCTCTGTTGCGGTGAGAACATGGAACGATGATGGAGATAAGACAACGCCGACGCTGACGATAATGTCGTTCGAATACGGCCTTGGAATTTTTGTCTTTTTTGTTTTCTGTTCATTTGACCAGGGCGCAGGTAAAATTTAATAATTTAATTGACCGTACCGTAGACGGTTCGTTTGGTAATTACAGTTTTTTTTAGTATAATCATATATTTTACAATAAGAAGGGTAACATCGGATCAGTCGCACGGTATACAACTTAATTTAATATTGAATTTGTCATTTACGAGATTTAAAATTTCTCACTTATAAGTAAATAAGAATACAACTAGACTCTAGTACTGAATGGCGGTAATTACAGTTTAACTTGGATAATATTTCGGTAGTGGGACCAACTAAAAGGGTTAGGGAGTTTCCTTGATTTTTGATTTATCAAAAGGTTTGGGGCTCGTTTTGGATTCCAAAAGTAATTGAAGTGTTATCTGCAAAAAGCATCAGTTATGTGCTTTTTTCAAGAAGCACTTAAGTACTTTTCTAAGATTTACTTACATTTTTATTAAGAATTAGATCTAAAAACATTTTTACTAAAAACGTTTTCAATCATTTTAAAAGCACGTTCAAACAAATTCTTGGAATAAACCACCGCAGGAAGCATGCGAGGGGAGTTTGGTGGTTGGGATCTGCCTCTTGAATGCGTCTACTAAGCTCCAAATTCAGTATTAAAAATGTTCTTGCAAGTTTAGATCTCAAGGGGGCGTTTGTTGCGCCGGATTATCTCGGACTGGATTAGCTTCAAGGACTAAGCTGGACTGGCTTAAACTAGACTAAACTG